CTCCCAGGACCCTTCCCCCTATGAGGGAGGAAGCCCCCCACTTTCTGTCACAAGGTCTGGCTTCTAATTGCAACCCGTGCTTGACTCAGTTTAAGTCACCTTGGGCAATATGTTCCCTTTCCGTGGACTTTGGTTTCTTCATCTAAAAAATAATAATAATAATAGTGGCTTGGAGTAATCTTATAATCTCTTCTAGCATTCACCCTGAATTCCTGCTTTAAAGGCACTACCCGTGAGAAGAGAGAGCTAGGGGCGAGGATGGGCCCTCCCTGTGCCGTGGGACAGGGAGGAGGTTGGGAGAATCCCGAAAGCAGCTGCTAACTTCTCGGACTTCATGGCTCTCATTTTCGTGCTTGCCTTTTCTCTCTCATCACCCATGTCCTTGGGGTGCTGGCTGGGCGAGCACCCAGCAGTACAGTAGTATAATGGGCACCGTTTCCTGTGCTCTTATGAAAACCATCAGCACCAGGATGGTGCTGGCAATGGCATTGGTGACAGTGACAATAGGAATGGAGACGCAGGTGATGGTGGAGCCACAGATGGGTCCCAGGGCGTGAGAGCTACCAACATGAACTTTGACTCAATTTGGCAAAAACGTACCCTGAATCTAACTTCTCTTCCCACCAGCTCCTTTTGTAATAAGAGAGGCCGAGTGAAAACCCAGAAGCGTGTGCACCCAGATCTCCTGGAAAGGGCCACAGAGTGGGACGCAGGGAGGAGAGAATCCTCCTCTGAGCCAAACTGGAAATGCTCGGTTGTCATTTCCTCCCTGCCTTCCCACTGACGCCCGCAGCAGCTGACCGGGAAAGTATCAGATGCCTTCACTGGCTGTCGCCAACACCTGCCTCCCGAATCTTGATCGGGGAGGTGGTGTCATCGGGCCCTCCAAATAAAATATTTAGTGGCACTCGCTTCCCATAGAAGCGAGCATGGCCTCTCCTTGGCACCAGGAAGGATCCGGGTACAATGTCGTGGGAGAGGCTCTGCCGTTAAGGTGACAGTCCAGGAGCAGGATGCCCGGGCTTGAGAATTGGGGTTGGGAAGAAGGAAACTGGCAGGAGAGCAGAGACTTGGGCAAGTTTTGTCTCTTGAGAATGCATGTGACAAGTGACTGTATGAGCTAGACAGAGAGATGCGGCAGAAAAGAAGGAAGTGTCATTATTGAGAGAAAACTGCTAAGGTTGATTGACACAGGCAGAACACTGGGGTTAGGAGGACATGCTAGGTGTACAAAGTCCTGGGCATGTGTTTACCGGCTTCCGCCAAACTGAGGGTGGAAAACTCATTCTAAGACGGATCGTGGGATGGATGGAGGTGAAAGAGTTGGAAATAGTGACAAATAAATTGCTAACAATAAAGGCTTAACACTTAAACTGGGCGAGGAAAATGCATGAACGGATTTCATCATAGTAATCCTGTGAGGTAGATACTAGTACTAAACCCATTTTATATAGATACTGAGATAGCGTCACAGAATGGCAAAGTACCTTGACCAAGTGGGCACAGCTATAGGCTCTGTATCCAGGCACCCAAGTTCAGAGCTCATGCATCTAACCACTGCCCCACACTGCCCCCTCAACAGAGGCATAAAGGTGGGTTCCCTTCCCCCTCACTCTGAATGTGGCTAGGAGGTCTGATCCTTCCCCACTGGGCCCTGCTTTGAACAGCTGCTTGGTAACATCAATCTTGGCATTGCAGTCAGTTGTCCTTATGAAGGCCATACTCCCGAGGTGGAGAGCAAACCTCCCCGCCACCCCTTACTGCGGGAGACCATGCATCCTCTTGATTCCAGAGTCCAGAGACAGCTGCTCCCCGTGGGCGGTCCCTGAGCACCATGAGACGAATCCTCTTGGCTGGGTACCAAGCAGATGCTGCTTGAGGGTGAGAGAAAAACAGCCCAGCTGTGGTGCTCTGTGCAAAACTCCTGGCCTAATTAGCCTCACCAAGTTGGAGAGAAGGATCTCGGCTACTCTTGGAATCACAGACTCTAGAAACTGAAGGAATGAAGCCACAAGGTATCATTTTATCAGAAAGAAGAAATCATGCAGATTGGCTAATTCAAAAACCTTCTGTTTTAAGATCAAGAAATAGGCTCAGGGAGATGCTAGACCAATCTGAAGCCACACCACAATTCATGAGTGACAGAAGCAGAATTTGAACTCAGAGCTCCTGAGTCCCCCACCCTCCACCCTGCCCTGTGGCACCGTGGCTTCTAGCCAATTTTTCCATTCTCAGTCCGACTCTCAGGATCCTACACTTCCACTGGCTTCCCTGCCGTCTGCAGAGAGGCTATGCTGGGACTTGTGCAGTAGTATGACAGAGAAGATCACCTTAGATCTATTCTTTTTCTCCTACCACATGTTTCTGACACTGAGCTCAGCCCCTGGGTCAGGGAGGGCTGAGGATCAGAGGTCCACCCACAAGGTTCAGCACATGGAAAGGGAGAATATAAGCAAGAACAGAAGGCAGGAGCTGCACCGGGATTCCTGAAGCACCGTCTCCTGGGGAGGCTTCAGTGATAAAATAATAGCTAACGTAAGTTAAGCACTCACTGTGTGCCTGCAGCCGTGCCCAGAGGCTTCCCTACGTTGTCGCCTGTACTGCCACGACAGCCTGAGAGGCCCGTACTGTCCTTACCCACATTCTGCTAGAATGGGAGATGAGACTTGGCTTGGCCAAGGTTCCAGATCTGTCCCTAAATTCTGCCTCCCAGCAAAAGCCGCTCACTATTCAATCTGTGTCTTGGGCGGGGACGCTGAGCAGGGAGATGAGATGGTTGATCTTGACCTGACGCCATGTCCTTTGATGTTATTTCTGCCCCCAGCACCCCCTCCCCCCACCCAGGGGCCAAACATGCGTGCACGTGTGTTATGGCAAAGGCGGGAATGTAATGTCCACAAATTCGGCGTGATGGTGTCTTTGCGAGCACTTTGTAAAGTGCAAACCCCACGCTCAGGGTGGTGGTGACAGTCCTCCTCCTGCTCCTTGGAGCTCCCCTCGGGAGACACTGCTCTCCGCCCCCGGCCCGGGCAGCCCAGCGAGCGAGAGGGGCGTGCAGAGCACGGCCGGCCTCTTGCAGCTTCCAGTCCAGCTGGAGAATTTGAGGATTCTGTTATTTCCTTTCCACGGCTCCTCTTCAGGAATTCACGTCCTGCTACCGGCCTCAGGACATAGCTAAAAATAACCGCTGGTTTGCAAACCGAAAGCTCCTCGGACTGCAGGGCGGCTCTGCCGGTGCGCCGCGTGGGGCCGGAAGGGCTGCGCCGAGTAGCGGAGGCCAGCCCGCGCCTCGCGCTGCTGTTGCCTTCCTCTTTCCGAGGAAGCCTGGGGCCCCGTGAGTCACCCCAGAACACCCCGGCGGAGTGTGATTAGAGAAGGGGAGCCAGGCGGGACCTGCCCTGGCACCGCGGTGGCTGCTAGGCCCAGGATGCAGAGTTGGAGAGTTTCTAAAGATACAAAGAAAAAACGGGGGATTCTCAAAGTCGATGTCTGCTCTAATGATAACGCAGTCCAGCCAGCTTGGGGAATAGAGAGGGACAGACAGACGTCGCCTAAGCTGCCTTGGAGCAAGTTCTCCACCCTTTGCTCAGGTGTTTCCATTCCGGCTCTGCCTCCTGTGCCCAGAGCTCTGTCTGGACTTGCCCGAGAGGGTTGCTGGAGGATCTGTCCAGCTGGAGAAACCATCTCTCTGCAGGACGGCTCGCTGCTTTGCTCCCTCTTGCTGTCCCTCCCATAAGTCAGGACCACAGCTGACACTGATGGGGCAGGCCCTGCTCTCTGACCTCCTCTTTTGCCCAGAAGTCTCTAGAGGCTCCCCCTGGCACCCCACCTTGCACCCCTGGGCAGCTTCCTTGGAATATGGAAGAGTGAGCACCGAGCCCCTGGCAGCGGGAGAGCCTCAGGGCCCGGGAGTCCGGAGGAAGGGCAAGAATAGAGGCGTCAGGGCCGGGGAGCGGGGTTTGAGCATGGCCCGGGGTTGATTTCATGGATGCCGAACAGAAGGCCCCAGCAGCAGCTGACACGGGAGTGCCCCTCACCTTGCTGCCCTTTGCTGCTCTCCACGTTTTCCCAAACCCAGAACTGCCACCTCAGGTGGCTGCAGATGGACTCCGATAGCCAGTCCCTCCCGTCCAGGAGACTGGCTCCCCCGTGCACTCTGCCTGCAGAGGAGCAGAAGTGGAAGCAATTTGCTCAGGACCTGGCCGCCTGGCTCACTGAGGCATGGGGGGTGGGCACGGGCACAGCTGGGCATTGCCTGTCAAAGGGACAGTCGTTTGCCTGTGTCCCCAAGGGGCCTTTCAACCTCCTGAATGGCACGTGTCAGAAGCCCAGTCTTGTTGGCCACAGCATAGTTCTCTCTTCTAGCAAGTTCTAGCAGCTAAAGGTGAGAGGTCCTCCTCCTGGAGGAGAAGGGCAGAGGCGGTGAGGGTCTCTCACCCAGGGCGAGCCCTCCTCTCCTCCCTGTGCACTGGCAGGGCGTGAGAAATCGAAGAGGCTTAGCGGAGTGAGGCCACGGAAGTCTGAAATTAGGAATTTTATTGCAATATCGGACTCTGGGAGTAGCTGGCCTAGAGAGCTGGGGGGGGATGGCCTTCCTAACCAGCTTGGAAACGCAGGAGGGATTTCTACTGGTCTCGGGTAAGAGGTGGGTGAGGAAGGCTGGCTTTAGCGCTGCCACCAGATTGACTGGCTGGGTGAACTTCAACAGTCTTTTAACCTCTCTGAGAGATAAAAACGCTGTCTTAAGAGGACAGAAATAGCGATGCTTTATAAAGTAAAAAAAAAAAAAAAATACAGCGTAAAGGCTGGAGACCAAAATAGATAACAGGATTCCCTGAACATCCCTAGGAGGGAGAAAGTCTGTTAAAAATAGACAAACTGAGACACAGAAGGAAGAGATTCGCAGAGCTGAGCCGGGATGGGGACTCTGGGTCAAGCATTCCTCTTTGCACCTCTTGGAACCGATTTTCCGTCTGACCACTCTGCTTTGTGTTTTCCAGAACCATGTGCGGGCCGACCTAGGAAGGCGGGGCAGATGAGCTCACAGAGGCGCCGTCTCCTCGCCCCCGCCCCTCTCAGGATGGAACTGAGGGGTCCCTGGCCCCGGGCCGCGGAGGTTGACAGCTGGTCCGTGGTCCTGCTCTCGGTGGTCTGGGTGCTGCTGGCCCCCCGGGCGGCCGGCATGCCTCAGTTCAGCACTTTCCACTCCGAGAACCGGGACTGGACCTTCAACCACTTGACGGTCCACCGAGGCACGGGGGCCGTGTACGTGGGGGCCATCAACCGGGTCTACAAGCTGACGGGCAACCTGACCATCCAGGTGGCTCACAAGACGGGGCCGGAAGAGGACAACAAGTCGTGCTACCCGCCGCTCATCGTGCAGCCCTGCGGCGAGGTGCTGACCCTCACCAACAACGTCAACAAGCTGCTCATCATCGACTACTCCGAGAACCGGCTGCTGGCCTGCGGCAGCCTCTACCAGGGCGTCTGCAAGCTGCTGCGGCTCGACGACCTCTTCATCCTGGTGGAGCCGTCCCACAAGAAGGAGCACTACCTGTCCAGCGTCAACAAGACGGGCACCATGTACGGCGTGATCGTGCGCTCCCAGGGCGGGGACGGCAAGCTCTTCATCGGCACCGCCGTGGACGGGAAGCAGGACTACTTCCCGACCCTGTCCAGCCGGAAGCTGCCCCGGGACCCCGAGTCCTCAGCCATGCTCGACTACGAGCTGCACAGCGACTTCGTCTCCTCTCTCATCAAGATCCCCTCGGACACCCTGGCCCTGGTCTCCCACTTTGACATCTTCTACATCTACGGCTTCGCCAGCGGGGGCTTCGTCTACTTCCTCACCGTGCAGCCCGAGACCCCCGAGGGGGTGGCCATCAACTCCGCCGGAGACCTCTTCTACACCTCGCGCATCGTGCGTCTCTGCAAGGACGACCCCAAGTTCCACTCGTACGTGTCCCTGCCGTTCGGCTGCACCCGGGCGGGGGTGGAGTACCGCCTCCTGCAGGCTGCCTACCTGGCCAAGCCGGGGGACTCCCTGGCCCAGGCCTTCAACATCAGCGGCCAGGACGACGTGCTCTTCGCCATCTTCTCCAAAGGGCAGAAGCAGTACCACCACCCGCCCGACGACTCTGCCCTGTGTGCCTTCCCCATCCGGGCCGTCAACCTGCAGATCAAGGAGCGCCTGCAGTCCTGCTACCAGGGCGAGGGCAACCTGGAGCTCAACTGGCTGCTGGGAAAGGACGTCCAGTGCACCAAGGCGGTAAGGAGGCGCGCACCTCTGCTCCTGGCCCGGGATGCGGGTCCCCACCTTCCTGTCCGTGCCCCAGGGCACGCCTGCTCCCAGACACCATGGCCCTGGAATGCAAGAGGTTTTCAGGTTCATGCTAACAGATGGTGACCAATAACACAGGGTCTTTCCGACACCAGATACCCGGGACATGTTTGTTGATTCATTACATCATTCCGAATGTATGCATTGAGTGTCTATGTCATGCCAGGTGCTACCGTAGGTACCGCAGGCTTCAGTGGTGAACCATGCAACCCACCAAGCTCCCTGCCCTCACGGAGCTTGCAGATTAGGGAGGTGAGACAAATGAACACATCAAACATGCAGTCTGTGAAATGGTGAGAATTGCTGTAGAGAAAAACATAGCGGGGGAGGGGAGAGGCAGCACCTGTGAGGCTCGGCTCACTGAGGAAGTGGGGTTTGAGCAAGCACAGGACAGGAAGAAGGGGAGCCATGCAAGTGTCTGGGGAAGGCATCCCAGAGAGAGAGAGCAGCAGGTGTGAAGAATTCAGGGCATGCCTGGAGTGACCGAGGAACAGCAAGGAGGCCACTGCCGCCAGATCAGAGCATTCGAGAAAGAGCAGTAGCATACGAGGTCAGTCAGTGGTAACTGGGACTGGATCTTCTACGTGCAGAGCTGCAGGGCACCGTGACGCCAAGTCAAGGGTCAGGTAGGCATCGGATATCTAAGTCAGATGAGAGAGAAAGGAGTTGCCCTTGACTGATAGATTGAAAACTGGAGGAGAGTCAGGAGAGTGGGAAAAGGCAAAAGAGGAGAAGGGGAGCTCAGGACCCAGACCTGAGGACAGCAGAGACAAGCGAATCAGTGGCAAGCGCCGTCCTGCCGGCTGCCGGAGGGTCAGGGTGCTGCCATCAAAGTGTTCACCACAATCCATTCGTCCTTCCATCTATCCACCCATCCCTCCATCCATCCCTCCCCCTTCTCTACCTTCATCCTTCTATCCATCCATCCATCCATCCTCCTTCCCTCTCTCCCCCTCCATCCATCCCTTTATCCATTTACTATCCATCCATCCATCCATCCTCCTTCCCTCTCTCCCCCTCCATCCATCCCTTTATCCATTTAGCCATCCTCCACCCATCCCTCCCCCTTCTCTACCTTCATCCTTCTATCCATCCATCCATCCATCCTCCTTCCCTCTCTCCCCCTTCATCCATCCCTTTATCCATTTAGCCATCCTCCACCCATCCCTCCCCCTTCTCTACCTTCATCCTTCTATCCATCCATCCATCATCCATCCATCCATCCTCATTCCCTCTCTCCCCCTCCATCCATCCATCCCTTTATCCATTTATCCATCCTCCACCCATCCATTCATCCATTCCTCCCCCTTCCCTACCTTCATCCTTCTATCCACCCATCCATCATCCATCCATCCATCCTCCTTCCCTCTCTCCCCCTCCATCCATCCATCCCTTTATCCATTTATCCATCCTCCACCCATCCATTTATCCACCCACCCATCTCTCCCTATATTCCCCCCTCTTTCCTTCTTCTCTCCCTTAATCTTTTCCTCCATCCCTTTTCTATCTTTTATCCATTCACTTACCCAGCTCTCTATGTATTCATTTATCACTCCCTTTATCCATCCATCATACATCCATCCACCCATCCCTCCCTCCATCCATTTAACAAGTGAGCATTGAAGGTCTTCTGAGTGCCTGGCACTGCACTAGGCTCTGGGGATGCAAACACAAAGAGACACGATCACTACGTCCATAGTTGGGGACAGAGACAGAGAGATAAAAACAGCTGGCAACATAATATAGTAGCTAAGAGTCTAAGGGTTTGGGCTTCTGAGACAAAAACCAGGGTTCAAATCTCTGCTTCTTCCTGGCTTCAGAAGCAACATACCACCTCTGCATTCTCATCTGTGAAGTGGGAATCATAGTGCCTACCTCATGGGGTGATCGGGTGAGATAACAAGTAGAGAGCTTAGCCCCATGCCTGGAAATGTTAGGCTTACCATTTTTAGTTGACTGTTAGGGACCGTGACAAGTGCTGAACTAGCTTTCTGAACACAGTGCTGTGGACTGGGGAAAAATCTGCAGCCTGGGGGAAAATCTGAGACCAAGAGGCCCATATGGCTGCTTTCTGAGTCCCCCAAACTGAGGGCACCTGCCACTGGGACCAAAACCCACTTGTCAAAGCAAGAAGACAGGTCAGGCCTGGGCTGTGCTTCTCTTCCTGTCATCACCCGCTAGGTGTGGTAGGATAATGGTTAGGACAATAGGCTTTAAAGTACAACAGACAGGGATTAAAAATCAGATCCACCACTTACTCCTCATGTGACTTTGGGAAAGTTATGTACCTGGTCTGAGCTATAATTTTTTCATCTTTAAAATAGAGACAGTATTACCCTCTTTTCATGGTTATTATGAGGATCAAATAGAAAATGTATGTGAAATGCTTAGTATGAAACTTGTAATATACTAAGCATTCGATAAATGGTCAGCAATGATTATTAATATTAATCACAGTAATAAGGAGCCAGTTATTAGTTATCTCAGTTTCATACCATGAGGGAAGCTAGACTAGATGATTCCCAAATCTCTTTCCAGCACTAAAATTCTATGACCAGTGGACCTAACCCACCGGGAGGAGTGGAGGGAAATGTAAGGGTTAACCCGGTGTGGAGTCCAGCCTGGTTCCCATAATCCAGAGGGGACCTTGTCAGGAGGAAACTGCTGATTCCTGCCTGCTTCTGAGCCAGAGGAAAGAGGAAGATGACACCCTGCTCCGCTCCAGTGGTGGTGCAGAGAGACAAGCCCGGGCTAGTGACCAAAGGACAGCAAAGGCACTAGGAGAGAGGTGACAGGAGGTGAGACCAGAGTGGAGAGCCTCTCACCTGCCCCCACTTCAGCACCACAGGTGCTGCACCACTGGTGCAGTGACCACAAGGGGACCTTAGAGTCCAAAGGACCCCGGACCTGGGGACCCAGAGACATTTTGGTGGCCTTGGAGGGGATTAAGGTTGAATGAGAGAAGCTGTGGTCCCTGAGCTTGATTTTGACATGACTCTGGAATAACATAGAAATCCCAGATCAAGGATTTGAGCTCTGACCCCAGAAAAGGGATGGGAAAGGGGACTCTCACTCACTGTACTAACGGCTGTGCTTGGCAGTTATTAAATGTTATCTCATTTGCTCCTCACAGTGACCCAATAAGGCATGAATTATCCTCCTCATTTTACAGATGCAAAAACAAAGGCTCACAAAGACTAAGCAGATTGCTTAAATCAACACAACGACACACGATAAAGTAGGGATTTTAATTCAGTTTGCCCGCATGACTTCTAAGCCCGGGTTGTTTCTGTTTAGTCATCCTGCCTCTAAGGAAAGCCATAGAACAAGCTCTCACCATCTGAGCAAAAGTAAAGGGGCATCAGGTGTTTGGGAATATCTGGCAATATATTGAGAAAGAAATTGAGGAGAAAAAGAAATGCCAGCCAATCCCCAGGGCTCGGGCTCAGAACAAACCATTTCCTCTATAGCTCTGGAGAGTCTCGAGTCAGGTAGAATCTAGCAAAATCCACAACTACCAGCAAGGGTTTTTTGCTCCTGTCATCATTTCTCAAAAGCTACACCTGTGCCCAGACTCTGAGGCCTTACCGGTCCCGCAGAAAGTGGGAACGAAACTGAAGCATCCTTCTCAGAGCTGAAAGGAGGCTTGACGATTACCTGGCTCAATCCTTTTACCTTACAGTAAGCAAACTTCATAAAACTGAGGTTCATTGAAGCCATAGGGCACATCGAGGTCACACAGCTGGATGGTGGTGGAGACAGGACTAAAATCTGCATCACCCAGGTCTTACCTGGGCAGCTGCCGCGTGTGGTGTAGGGTGGAGGACGAGAAGTACGAAATGTAGGAAGTCATAGCTGATTGCTCTGACCTTCTTTTCTGGGGAGCCAAGAATTCCCATCATTGGCTGCAGCGATGTGCTTGTCACTAGGAAGTAACGGGTTCTATGCAGGCAAGGGAGGGAGCGGAGAGCCCTGGTCTGTGGCGTTTGCCAATTCCCACCCGTGGTGCCCATGCTCCGACCATGGCTGATGTAGGCACCAGGGAGATGTCACTGACTACAGAGATGTGCACGACCCTCTCCCATGGGCTGGAGCCAGCAGACCTCTGCTTCACCCCCTTCCCGAGAAGCTCGCTCCTTCTGCTCTGTGGGGCTCCGTGTTAGCCAGAGTTCAAGGGTCATCCTTAACCTTGATATTGCTTTCCTTTCCTAACAAATACAAACACACACACACATACACACACACACACAAGTGCACACACACACACACACACACAAGTGCAGCACCATCATTCCCAATAGTAGCAGGAACAGCAGCTCTCTACGAAACACTAAGGAATCACAAGAGATGAGTCTGTATTCCCTTTGAAACTGAGAAGGGAATGGAAGGGAAGTCCCTGGTTTAAAAAAAAAAAAACTCACATGCCATAGCCAATAAGCCAACGATTCCAAAGAAATGAGGCTGTCGACGCGTGGTGATGCATCAGCCTGCTCCTCCCTGGTGAGGGCGAGAAGAGGGGGTTGGGGGAGCAGGGGCCAGGCTTCTCTGATGCTTTCTGTGCTTCCCACGGCCACTTCCCTCCTCCTCTGGGATGCCTTTCCAGACCCAGAAGGAGCAGCCGCCACAGGGCTCGGGGTTCTTTCTGGCCCAGATCCCTCAGCCTTTACCCCAGGATTCGGTGCTGTGCAATCCACTGGGGCATCTCCGAGCACCCGTCCCAGCCCAGCCTGATCCCCTCTGCAGCCCCTGCCTCAGGAGCATGCAGCCTCTGTCTGTCTGTCTGTCTGTCTGTCTTGCTCTTTTTTTTTTTAACTGAATGAGATCTTAGAAATCATCCAGTTAACATTTTCTTCAATAGCTCCCAAAGAAGATTCTACTGGTCTGAGTTTGCCCAGCCCATTAGCAATAGAACAGAGAGTGGGGTCCAGGTCTTCCTACTTTCTGACCAGCAGGTTTTTTTCACTTGCTCATGTGCTCTCCGTTCAAAGATACCCCAGTCTCTCCTGGGGTACTCTATATGGGCACACCGCCACTCTCCTCCAAATGCTGGTAACGGGAAGGATGACAACTCCCAAATTTCCTCTTGATTATATTTACCCAAACACTGTTGAAGACCTATAACGTACAATAGTGGAAATAGTTGTACAACTTAACAAAACTCTTTTACAAGCTTTATTTCATTGGCTCCTCCGTAATTTTATAAGAAAAGTGGGCAGATATTATTCCAAATGAAGAAACTGAGGCACATGTCTGTTAACTAACTCTTTTAAAGTATAAAGTACTGTCCAATCCGTTCCCAATGTGGTAGATAGAAGTGAATGGTTGAATGGCTTAAAATGCCTTGTGCCCAAAGGGAGACACTGCAGCCGAAGAAACAAACAAGAAACCCTCTCCGGGCTGGTGGAAATCCCGCGATGATGCCTCTAGAGTGAATATCAACTGAGGGAACCCTGGTCTAAAATAGGAAGATCCGCATAGAATGGCATGGTCCACAGGGACATTAAAGTAACTAGAAAATTAGTTCAAGCTATTAGCTGTACAAACTGACCCTGGTTTTCCTAGCAGGCAGGTGGAGGCAGGTACTCCAGGTGAGTGGAAGAATGCTGCTTGCTCCTTCATCTGGGTTCATAGGAGCCAGTATGGGATTGGAGGGTCAATTGGTGAAGAGTTTTTGTCTGCAGCACGGTGAAGACCCCCGAGCCCCATGTCTGTGCCTCTCCGAGGCCTGGTGCCCTGGGGCTGGCAGTTGAGTATAGGGGCCAAGTAGGATGGTTCCATCCTGCCTCCACCGCTATTCACCCACTTCCCTCCCCTTCCCTGCAGCCCGTCCCCATCGATGATAACTTCTGTGGACTGGACATCAACCAGCCGCTCGGAGGCTCGACTCCAGTGGAGGGCCTGACCCTGTACACCACCAGCCGGGACCGCATGACCTCTGTGGCTTCTTACGTGTACAACGGCTACAGCGTGGTTTTCGTGGGGACTAAGAGCGGCAAGCTGAAAAAGGTAAGAGTCTGTGAGCTTGGATGCCACGACGCCATTCGCCTCCTCCGCTGAGATTCCCTTCTGGAAGGTAACTGTCGGTGGAGATTTAGCTGCTACAGGTCACTCTTCATTTTCTTGGGGGATGACATGGAGAGGTAGGAAGGGTTGCATTTTGTGGCTCATCCTCTCTCTGCTTCCTCTCGCCACCAGTCTGTGGGTATCTCAGGAATGCAAGCCTTTGTCAATAAGCCCAAACTTCAAGGAATTGGGAAGGCGCATATGCATAAGGGGAAAAAAATTCACTCTTCATTCCTAAATCACATAGAACTGATTTTTTGATCGTTTACGGTATGAATCGCGCACATTGCAGATCCTTCCCCACGACCCACAGGGTTGATCGTACTGGTCAAAAAAGTCTGTGCCGAATGCAAAGAAGTTAGTTAGACCAGATTACAGGTCTCAAGTCTGAGAAGCTGGGACGGATGGCGGGTGCTGCTCTCCTCCAATGGTGTCTGGGAAAGGCATTCTCCTGTCTGTCCTCTTCCTGCGATCACAGGCTCTTCCCTCCCCACCTCGCCACCAGGAAGTAGACATTTTACCCACTGCCTCCCTGGGCACCTCTGCCAGCTGGAGGGAACAGGCCTCTGGTGCAGCAGGCTGAAGCAGCAGCTTGTACCTGCTTGTCTAGAGCTTAGGGTGTGGACGGGGAGCACAGGCTGGTTCATTATGTGAGATCACAGCAGCCCCGTGCTTTCCGGTCCCAGCTAATCCCCTTTTCCCAAGCGTACCCTGCTGCCACCTTTCCCTGGTCCCAGCACCTGTGGATCAAGGCACATGCCAGCCCTCGCTGCCTTTCACTCTTTGATGTTGACATCGCCCCGGAGCCCTGTCCTCCTAATCCACTTAGAGCCTTGGGAGGGATGTTATCTGGGAGTGTGGAAGGAGGGTAGCCCGGCCAGGAAGGATTTCCATGCTCTGCCTGTTGTGAATAATTCTGCCAGAGGAGGTGAGAACTGCTCTGGGTTTACCTGGTGTGAACCTTCCAATCCTCTCCCAGTTGTCTACACCAAAGCTGTTGAACCGTTTCCTGCTCTCTGTAGAGGTTCCTATGTGTTTCTGTGCCGGGCGCTCCCCTCTGCCCGGGTCTGTGGGCCTGGACTTGGCTGGTCAGCACATGGAAGGGAGAAAGACTGGGGTCCCTGCTTTTGCTTCCCAAAAGTGGAAGACAGACAGAAGGACTTGCTCTACCAGATGCCACTAAGGTTTAAAAGTGGCCTATCTGCCCTGCGTCCCAGGGCCACCACATCCAGTTGGGCACAATGTTGTGCCTGGCCCAGGGGCATTGGGCCAAGGGACCTAGTGGGGGTTGCAATCCAGCCTGAGCTCTCCTTGTCATCCCGTGTGTCCTGTGGTATAGACACCCGCCCAGCGGGGCTCCTCTTACTAATGCATCTGCTTGTGGGGACCCACCTTTTTCTAAGTTGCACCAAGGCTTCCTAAGGACCAGCAGCACCCACAGAAAGGCTGGTACTCAGCACCTTCCCCTGTCCCTGTCCCCACCTCCTGGATCATGTGTGTAACTCTGTCTCCTTTAGTCTCCTGAAAGTTCTATTCAAGGCAGGGGCCATGCTCTCTGTGTGTGTACTCCCTTCCTCCTCCTTAATCCCTTCACCAATGTTCGCTCATGGAATAGGCCCCAAGACTGTGCTGGAAACAAGAACCATTCTCTAGGGAACCTTGGAGATCATCTATTATTCGGCAGGGAAACTGAGGCCCAGAGAAGAAGAGTCACTTGCCCAAAGCATAGAGATCTGGGATAAGTTGCTTCTTGTCCTGACACCCAGTGCGGTAGCCCCTTAATATAAAGACACAGCTATGAAGCCCAGAGTTGGAAGCTAAGAACCGTCCTCAGGTCCAGGCTTGCCACGGAGTTCAGCCAGGGGCTAGCTAGCGCCTCCGCACTCTGCAGCCCTAGGTCTGAAATAAGGAATCCACGTTGGCTTGCATGGATGGGTAAGGAATGGATAAAGGAAGAGTGACCCGGCAGGTCTCAAAGGGACCTTGAGATGACCTTCTCCCTATCCTGTGCAGCTCACACAGCACACCCACAAGGGACTGGGCACCTTTCCAAGTCCCACATCTGATTGGCCAGGCGCTCCAGACCCTGGTAGAGCCCCAGCGGATTAGTCGCTATAGAGGCAAGTCAGCGGGTTCGAGGGCAAGGCTGGGGCGAGGCCGCCGACGGCTTGTTGCGACCTGCTCCTCCTCACTCTCCGCCTGGCCTTTCTGTGGCTGCTGTGTGAGCTCATCACACACCCCCTTCCTCCTCTGTGCAACTCACCCTTCCTTTCCACCCACACGCCTTTGAGGTACCTGACAGTCACACCCGGGCTCCCACTGGCCTCCCATTTACCCACCAGCTTGTCCCCACCCCTCTCCAGAGAAACAGCCCAGGAGGAATTTATGGAATGTCCCCAGGAAACCCTACCATAGTCCAGGCCCCATAGCTCTTTCAACACAGGAAGGAAAATAAAGAAAAAAAAAATAGCTAAGAGTCTGGAGAGGGGAGGGAAGCCCGGTGCGTCAGAACTACTCACTTCTTCCCTGCCCGGCCAGGCGTCTGTCAGACTGTCCAGCCCTCATGCACCGCGGCCTGCAGGAACAGGATGTCCCTGTGTGGGGAAGTTGGGAGGAAGCAGAGACTCGCTAGAAGTGGCATGACCATAGGGTGCTCTCGTGTGCGTTGTCCCAGACTCATACGCTGCTCTCTGCAAGATGCACAGAGAACACCATATACAAGGCCACGGCTCTCTGAGCCACCAACATGTGGAAGGAACAGGCAGTGAGGTTAAGACCTCAGAACCAGCATGTGCAATGCTCGCATAGGCCAAGGGTTGGTGTACCGCCAGTGGTAAGAAGATAGGCAGGGATTCAGCGTAAGGATGGAACAGTTCAAGCAAAACCAGCAACCGTAGGGTGATCCATCTGCGAGGCTTTATTGAGAAGGAAGATTGCCAGGGTCTGCCTAAAGGCTGATGAGCTGATGAGTTGGGGGTGAGGGAGAAGAGCATTTAACACCTTGGGTGCCACACCGAGAAGGTGCAACGCACATGCAAGGAAGGTCTACCGTGCACAGAGAAGCGTGGAAGACTTGGACAGGTAGAAGGTGAGGTCTAGAGCCCTGTGAGTCCCGAAGCCCCGAGGGCACGAGGTGAAAAGGATCTCGGGGTCTTAGCTGACCACAGGGTCAACGTGAGCCAACTATGTGATGCAGCTTCAGCCAAGTTAGTCTTCACCACAGTAACGGGAGAGCAGCTTCCAGGTCGTGAGAAGCAGTAGCTTCGCTTTACGCTGGCGATGATAACATCGCAAGAGGGTGTTGAGCAAACGAATGTGCCAGATAAACAAGAGCTGGCAGGATGTGGGAATCATGCTTTGTGAAGGATATTTTTAAAAGGATGTTAACCCAAGGAAAAAAAGAGTGAATAAAGCAGGACATACCACAGCTCTCTGCAGATGATGCAGTTTACCGAGTACTTATTAGGTGCCAGGTACTATTTTAAGAGCTTTGTATCTATTAACTCCCTTCATCTCTTATGTAACACTTATAAGGTAGGTACTATCATCACCTCCATTTTACAGATGAGGAAATGGAGGCCAAGAAAGGTTAAAAAAAAAAAACAAAACAGCTTTGTCCAAAGTCACATGGCAAGTAACTGGCAGCGCCAGGGCTTAAACCTTAATTATCTGGTCTCACAATCTGCATGTTCAGCCTTTAAGCTCTGGACGATGAATTAGACATCATCATTGCGGCCCCAGAGGGCAGAATAAGGCCAGCGGGTAGGTGTTAGAGCAAAGCAGCTTTCCTCTTGATAAAGGGAAGAAGTTCCTTACAGCCAAACTGTCCCCAGGTGGAAAGAGCTGACTCCAGAGGGAATGAGCTCCCCGTCAGGGGAGATATGCAAGCAGAGACTGAAGGTCACCGCTCAGGGATGCCGTGGGGCAGACTCTTGCACTGAATCACGTGATCTTTGCAGCGATGCTGCCGCCGCTTCCTGGCTCCTTCAGCAGCACCTGGGATACAGGAGGGCAGGGAGGGGCAGAGAGGAGGAGTGGAAAGAGGGAAGCCGTGGTCCTGGTGTGGGCTTCGGAGTGCAGGCTGGGCTGGAGCCTGCCCTGGGCAGAGCTGAAAGCCTCTCGGGGTCAAGTGGAAGGGGCTTGGCAAGGACAGGGCAGGTGGGCCTGGGGCAAGATGTGCACGAGGAAAGCAGAGTCCTCTGGGGCCTGGGCGTAGTTGACTGTGAGGCCGTCCCTCCGGGTTGGGGACAGGCGGTGGGAGTCCAGGTGACGAGGACTAGGAGCGAACACCCAAGCACAGGGTGGCAGAGTGGTGACGGCCATTGGAATCCCATTAGGGACAACTTTCCAGGTTTCAGGGAGGAGTCAAGGGGACAATTCAAGCATGGGACACAGGAGGGAAGGGTCAGGCTGGGCAGGTGAAGGGTGCCAGGACCAGGCGAGGAAGGACTGTCTCGAGGTTCAGGGTCAAGTTCTTCTGATTTCTTCCCTCCATTTGCAGCTGCTAAAACCGCTGCCTCGGCCCTGGTTTCACGCCCCTGCAGGGCTCCTCTAAGAAGCTGGAGGTTGGTGGGGTTCTGCCTTGACCGGCTAGTCCCTCGGCCCTGGGGGCTTAAAGAGCAGCAGGAGCTACGGGCCCCGTGTTCTCCATCCCCACTGGAACCCTGGCCTGCTGCTCAAGCATGGGCGACACGTCCTTTATGTACCCTGTCCCTTCAACCATTGTGACTCGCACCCTCCCACCTCTTTCGGGAGTCACAGGCGCTTGCGGGCAGGGGCCTTCCTTCTCATGTTCATGTCACCGTCGGACCCGACACGTCTCAAACATAAGGAGCTCATGAAGGAGACCTCAAGTGCGTGGGGCTCCCACTCCGTGCCAGACCCCTCTTTGCGCTGACCGGAACGGAATCAGGCACCGAGAGTGACTCCGGTTGACATGGCCG